CACCAATCATATACTGATGATTAACTAAACAGCTGTCTCTTAACCAATGTATGATTGGCACAAATGTAYACACTTGTTGCAAAAAGAGAGTTATTAGCTCTGTGTGTATGTGTGTCTTTATGTCTGTTATTAATGWTGCTGTCTGGSCAACAGYRACATGGGAAAAGCAGGATTTGGGGACAGCCAGCATGCTGTCCAGGGGGACAATCACCTTCTGGCATGGTCCTGGCACTGACGTAGGCTGCCACGCTGCAGCGCGACTCCTGCGCGTCGTGGTTGCAGGCGTGCAGCTCGATGCGGTACCCGGTGAAATGCCGCAGCCCCGAGATCACCAGAGACTCCTTGGACAGCACCTTCTCGAAAGGTTTCTGCTCCTCTGTGCCCTCGGCTGAGTTGTTGGGAGAGGTGGGGATGGTGGGAAACACCACGGTGGCGTTGGCCACCGAGCCGAGGTCCCTTCGCTTCCTCGAGGGCCTGTGAAACACCACCATGGTCATTTTATAATCAATATAACAATTGAACAATCAATATAACAATGAAATATAACCATTTCAGAGGAGCTGAAATGGGAGAGCTCAGAGCACCACTGAAAACCCAAACTGAAGCCTGATATTTCCAACACAACAAAAAAATTCAAGATTTTTTTTTTGTTTTTGTTTTAACCAAGCAAAGCACCTTTATAAAATTCTGTATCCCCGAGCCTCCCTCCCTGCACAACCACACACGGGGAGAGAAAATAAAAATAAACCAACCCAAGCCTCAGGTATTTGCTCGAGAATCTGAGTTCCCTGGATCTCTCAGCTCGGTCTAACYGTGCCAGGTGCCTCAGGATGCCTGGGGCAGGCTTGCAATGCTTTGGAGTTCAGCTCCCCCAGCTCCGAGGTCACACCAGGCCCTGACTCGGTGACCTCAGCTGTGCCACACGTCCCAAGTGTCACCAASTCGAGTTTATAAGGCACAAGGCCACTCTGCAGCTCTCTGGAACACATTTGCCACTCTCAGCCCTAAGGCTGAGCCTCGATRGATACACGAAGCATTTTAACTTCTTCCCAGGAGATCAAATCTATTAAGTGCTTTCCAGAGCATGCATTTAAAACTCGTTATTCTGATTCCATATTCATTGGGTGGTTTTGTCGACCAAATTGCTGCTCCTCCAGTTAGTGCATTTCAGTCTGAAAATCCAATTTTTTCCCTTGTAAAACCAGCACTGACAACATCACCTCCCCTGTTTGCATGTGAGTGCCACCAGCCAGCTTGAATCAGCAAATAAACAGAATAAATTCAACAGAATTARGAACCATTCAAAAATTTCATTTTCTTGGCAAAAAAGGGAAAAAAAACTGAAGAAGGGATCCATACCAAACCAAAAGTGCTCATTCTAACACTCTCATGTCCTGCCACACGTTTGCCACGGGAATTCCAGGTCAGGAACTAACCRAGGTGGTGAATCAGTAACTGGATTCAGTTACACAAAAGGAATTAATGCCAGCTGAAACCCAGAGCATGTATTTTAAGGGGGTGATGATCTTTTTGTGTGTGTGCAGCTATTAAAGGGTACAAAGAGTGACCTGAACTGAACCCGCACTTGAGGCATCTCCAGGCTCTAAAAACGTAACGAGCTGTGGAAGCAAATCTGTGCTGCTGAACTGAACTTTCCACTGCCCCCTGTGACCCCCAGCCCCTGCAGGGACAGCTCTGACAGAGCTCTGTCACCTCCCCTGGTGGTTTTTGTCCTACAGAAAGCAGAGTTGGAGGAGTGGAGGTGTCCCCAAACCACACAAATATTCATGGAGTCACCATCTCTGAATGGTTTGGGTGGAAAAGACCTTAAATCCCATCTCATCCCACCACTGCCATGGACATTTCCAGCACCCCAGGGTGCTCCCAGCCCTGTCCAGCCTGGCCTTGGGCATTTCCAGGGATCCAGGGGCAGCCACAGCCGTGCCAGGACCTCCCCACCCTCCCACGGAACAATTCCTCCCTCCACTTTGGTGACAAAACAGGATGGCAACAGCAGGTTCAGCAAAGCACATTCCAGCTGGAATTTTCTCTTTCTTAATCACTAATTAACCCCTGGAGCTGCTGCTCTCTCAGCCTGGGGTGCTGTGAGCAGGGATGGGGCAGAGGGCAGCACCCAGCCCTGGGTCACATCAYCTCCCTCCTTGGGCAGGATTCCTGATGGTCACACACAACCTGGTTTGCATAAAAACCATAAAAGCTCCACCCTCTGTTTACCCAGTGGGAATTCAGCTGATCCTCGTGCCCACGGGAATTTTGTTTTTCACCAGTAAAACAGTAATTTGACCACTGATGCAACATGGAGTGAAACGCGAGAATTCCTTCCCTCTCGAGTCACAGAAAGTTAAGGAAAGCTTTTGAAGCTGTAAATCCCCAATCTTCCCATATTTATTAGCCTGGATTTGCAGCAGTTTTCTTGCCAAGTTCTCTGTATTTTCAAACATCTGATCCTTCTCAGAGTTGTTGCAATGAGATTTGCACCAGGGCCATCTCAGCAGTGCTGTGACACCCTCAGGTCCAGCTCCTGCTGCTCTCCCAGCTGACCAGAGGGTGTGAGAGGCTGGAATTGTCCTCTGAGCACACCCAGCATGGCTTGGAGAGTTCCAAAAATGCCTTTGGTACCTCCCCACCCTCCCAGGGAACAATTCCTTCCTGCAGAATAYGGGAAATATTTCCCATATTCTGTTGAATATAGGAAACCCAAGCTTTCCCACACACCTGAAGCCACCCCAGCTCAGCTGGCCTGGCTTCCCTGTGCTGGCAAAAGCATTTGAGATTTGTCTTTACAATTAACTGAGTTGGGAAATGGGGAAAACAATTTTAAAAAAATGTGACATTGCTCAGATCYTGCTCTCCAGGGACACTGGAATGGCACAGAGGTGTGTGAGAGACAAGAGAGCTGGGAATGCTCCTGTCCCAGCTGGTGATGGAATACAGGGATTGACATCCTGAACAGCAGCCCCTGAGCTCCCTCTGCCTCTCAGGGCTTTTTTTTTGGAATCTTTCCCTGTTTTCCACAGAATTGTGGAGCAGCTGAGGCTGGAAGGCACCTCTGGAGGTGTTCCCAGAGCAGAGGGCTCAGGATGTTCAGTTTGAACATCTCCTCACATCCCTGGGCAGCCTGGTGCAGATGTAACCCCCAACAGCTCCAACCTGGGCAGAACTGCCCCAAAATGAGAAAAAATAACACAGGAAAGAAAAAACAAAGCCTCAGCTTCTGGTGGCCACTGCTCAGCTCCAGAGGGGATCTGGTGGGAAGGCCCTGCCTGCTCAGGGGAACATTCCTGAACTCCCAGTTTGGGTTTTTTTTTGTCAATGCCAGAGCAAAGTGACCCCCAGGAGCTGGGACAGAGGCTCCTGGAGTGGGCCATCAGCGTGTCCAGGGGAAGGAAATGCCATTTCCAGAGGGGTGAGAGCAGCCCTGGGCTGAGGCCGGACCCTGCCTGGGGCAGGAGGGGAGAAATGGGGCAGGGAAAAGGAGGAACTGCCATAATTCTGCTCCCTGGCACCTCCTGTTCCCTGCTGGCCTCATCCCTGAGATTCCTCCCGTGACTGGCAGGTTCCTCCTGTACAGGAGAGATCACCCAGAACCTCAGGAGAGGTCACTGAACCCTCAGGAGAGGTCACTGAACCCTCAGAGCCACAAAAAAAGCACCTGAAGCAAACCCCACTCGCTGCTCTCTGCCAGGCTCTGTGAGCAGGTGATGGCAGGAAAAAAAATCTGATTTATGTGGCGACAGCCTGGAGCCTGCCAGGGAAGACAAACAGGGCACGTGGCAGCAGCGAGGGGTCTGTGCTTGTTCTAAAGGATCTGCTGGCCATGGGATGTGGGATTTCTCCCCCAAGAGGCTGGAAAAGGGGCACAGCCTGGRGATTGGCTTCTTCCTGATGTACACACCCCAGAAAGCAGCCTGAGAAGCATCCTGGGCTGGCTGCACAATAAAATTGGGGGGGAAAAAAAGGAAAAAAAAACAAAAGAAATCAGATTTGTCTGCCTGTACAATGAATTTGGGTTTTGCACGTGGCTGGGGTCTCCTCTGCTTTGGTGTCGTGTCCTGGCATCCTCTGGCACTGGGAATTGTCCTGATGGGCACCAACAGCCAGGGCACAGCAGAAGCAGGGGCTCTGCCCAAAGTGCCCAGAGAGAACTGCAGGAACCAGTGCAGGGAAGAGCAGGGATGCTTCCAACAGGGGAAACTCTCAGTGCACTGACCCAGCTGCAAACACAGCTCTGCTGGCCCAGGGCAGTGAGCAGAGAATAAACTCAGAGCCAAAACTGAGCCCACCCTGCTCCCCACAACTCCTCCCTGAGCTCAGACCAAGGCTGAAAGCATCAACCCTCACTGTGCCACCCCAAACTGGGCTCTCCCCACCCTCTGCACCACATTCCTGCTGCTTCTGGAGGCATTTCCCACTCTAAGTGCGAGGCAGACCACAAATACCACACTGGAGGACGAGGCTGTGGCCTGCTGAGCTGCCCTTTTCCTTTCTTTTCAACTCAATGAAAAACCTGACCGCAAAATTTCAAGGCAGGGAAAAAAATTWAAAAAAAAAAAAATYGCTATTTTTGGCATCATCTGCTGCCAGATGAGCTGCAGGCTGTTTGTGAAGGATTCTCACTTGGTTCTTGAGCTGAGGAGAATCCAGGGACAGGAAATAAAAGCAGGAACAGCCACAGTAGGTGCTCAGCTCTCCCCATTCTGACACGCATTTCCAGCTGGATGGACAGACATGGATACCTGGCAGAGGGGCTGGGTCCAAACTGAGATTTTTATTTAATCCTCATTCACATTTCCCTCCTCCTGACACCTGTGTGATGTTCTCACCTGACATTTTTATTTAATGCTCAATCATATTTCCCTCCTCCTGAGCCCTGGGCAGTCCTGTGATACTCTCACCTGATATTTTTATTTAATTCTCAATCATATTTCCCTCCTCCAGACCCCTGTATGATGCTCTCACCTGATATTTTTAATTAATTCTCAATCATATTTCCCTCCTCCTGAGCCCTGGGCAGTCCTGTTTGATGTTCTCAACTGATAATTTTATTTAATCCTCGATTATATTTTCCTGCTCCTGACCCCTGGGCACGCCTGTATGGTGTTCTTACCTGATACTTTTATTTAATCCTCAATCATATTTCCCTCCTCCTCCTCCTGACCCTGTGTGATGTTCTCACCTGATATTTTTATTTAATCCTCAATCATATTTCTCTCCTCCTGACCCCTGGGCAATCCTGTGATGCTCTCACCTGATATTTTTAATTAATCCTCAATCATATTTCCCTCTTCCTGAGCCCTGGGCAGTCCTGTGATGTTCTCACCTGGGCACAAAAACCTCGTTGTGCAGGTAATTCTCGAAGGTCTTGCGGAAAGCAGACTCCTCCAGCTCCTTCTGTATCTGGGAGTCTGTTTTAGGGCAGGAACAGCACTCCCCACTCACATCCTCAGCCTCRCTCTGGTTGTACTTCTGGGGGTCTTCAGATTCAAAAGGAGGGGACCAYGTCCTCGAGGGCAGCTTTAATCCTGGGGATAAAGCAGTTTTGGTGTCATTCGTGCCCAACTTGGCAGAAAGGTTTGGTCCTACGGAGATCCCAAACCACTTCATGCAGGATTCATGGGATATTTGGGCATCCCAGACTTTCATTCAGCTTTCACTGAACAGTTCCCTCTTTTCTGACAGGCCTTTGATTCAAAACTGCTATTTTTTATAGCTTTATCCCAGTTCAGGTAACACAGAGCAGCATTTGAGACTTTGGGAATAATCAGTGAAATTCTGTGTTCTTGAGGAATTCCAAACCAGGCACCAGCTGCCTTCAAAAATTAATTTGGYCCTGAGCTCCAGAAGCACTGAAATTTTTAACTTTACTATTTCCACTGCTGCTACTAAACTTACAATTCGATTTAAAAGGAACAAGGAAAGAAAGGTAATCCCCAAAGGAAAAAAAAACTGATTTCTGTGTAAAAAGTGTTTTCAGACCTTTTGCACATATGTTGGCTGTAGCAGCTAATGTACAATGGAACAGAACAGAGAGGGACAGAGCTGTTTTTAGAAGAATTGTCCTGAAACCATCAGAACTGGTCTCCCAGAGCACCTCCAAGCCCAAACTCTGGGAAATTCTGGGAGAGCCTGAAGGGAAGGTGTGGAGGGAGAAGGAAGCACTCACCTTTGAGGCAGTAATCGAGCTCGTAGAGCTCACTGTCCTCTGCCTGCTGCTGCCAGTACACCAGGTAATGAGTGATGTTCCCRTTGGGCTCTGAGGGCGGCTTCCACTTGAGGATGATTTGGGATGAGGAGTTGGAGACGGAGATGGGATCCAAAGGGACGGATGGGACTGTGGGGAAAAGGGACAGAGGTCACCACAATGCCCAGCAGGGACCAGCTCAGCTCCAGCTCTGCGGGATCAGGCACTCCCTGGCTCCTCCAGGCTGGGCTGGGTGGCTCTGGAGGACTCTTCCAGAATTAATGATCCTCATACAATGAAGAGCTGGGTGGAAGAGG